ACAGTGTTCAAGGATCTCACCGTAGAGAAGGATATTCTCCCAATGTAGCGCATACAGTTGCCAACTGCTCGGCTATGCGTTCGAGGTTGGACGTTAGTCCACCTTGTTTTTGGGCATTGTAGTACAAAAAGTATGTATCAGGCGAGTCCAGGGTATACACCTCAAATTGCAAGCTCAAAAAGATAAAAAAAAGTTGATAAATGATAAGAGGTATGTACAGTGGATCATAAGAAGATACCTGACTCTCATAAGGTGTGAAAGCGATGTTGATTTCCTTCAAGGTCTTGATGTGACGAGCTGCTGCACTACGAGAAAGCTCCGAAAACAAAGTATCCGGACAAGCTTCGGTGAAAAAGACGTGGGCACATTTATACTGATTGCGTACTGTATAATCGGCAATCAGGCGATCAATCTTAAAAAAAAACTTCACAAGAACGTAGAAGAAAAAGCTATATGTGGACGAACTGATTCTTTTGTCGGAGCTATGAGATATATGGCATCCAGACTGGGCAGAGGTTCTCTTCGCTTTGCCAGATCCTCCACAATAGTGATGCCATCTCAATCACAATGGTGAGTAATAATACGTATAACATGCTCGATTTACCAGTTAAACTTATTTACCTTCCATAATGTTGTGCATCTTGCAGCATGCAGAAAGCATGCGCATTGAGAGCCGATCTACGACAAGCGCATTCCAGCCCTTCCCTTCAGGTTTCTTCAAAGGCCGAATTACCTCATTCAGAAGCTCTGTAACAATTTTTAGAAAAAACGCTAAAACATGTAGCTAGCAAAACAAGTTTGCAATAAGCTACTATTCTTATTTGTTGATTTTGAAGTGTACACGGGCTTTGAAAGGCACAAACAGTTTTGTATTCTTAAGAAGAATGTTATATCGTGTACCGGTACGAAAATCTGGCTGTCCCTGAGAGTGTCCCATCTCCGGTCAACATAAGTTCTCATCTAAAGCCTATTTGCAACACCTCTTTTCCTCGAAATAAATTCAAACATATACAACAGGTTCGTGGAAGCCAAACCGGGTTGGATAGATTCAACTGATTTATATTTGTCCAGACGACTGTGAGGGTCTGCCCTTGGGTATGGGGTACCCGCGAGTTTACATAGACTTCGAGTACGGGAAACCGGTGTATTCAATTCTGATTCCTCCATAATTTACAATGAAAACCCCAAGATAATATTCAAAAGGCATGCACTGATAGTGCCGTATGATAAACCCACAAACTGCATGATTAAAGAACGCTCAATCAACTTTTGATCCAGACATAAAACGCGTGATCCCTTGGATACAAGAGCCCTTTGGTGACAAATCACTAAGAACTCGAATGACGAAATAAGCGGTTTAAAGATAACTGAATAGCAAAAAAAAAGAAACAAATAAATTAAAAATCGACAAGAAAAACAGGATATTCAAACATCACTCACTATTCCCAACTATCTGCTTCAGAGAC